ATATATATATATATATATATATATACACATATATATATATATTTCTCACAGAGACTGAAATCGGTACTCTCGCGTCCTCTTGGCGTTTTTCTCTAGCGGGGGGAATATTTTTTTGGGGAAATTCTTTTATGGTGACCCAAAAATGGAGATTATTAGGAAGGAGTTTGATGCTATGAAACTATTGGGCAGTTGGAACATTGACCTACTTGACGGTAGACATGTATTTATTCAGCTATCTCATGATGCTGATTGCACTCGCATTTTCTCTCGTAAAACTATCAAAATTGACAATTGTTTTATGAAGATTTTGAAGTGGACAGTCGACTTTGATCCAAAAGCGGAGTCCCCTATTATTCCCGTTTGGATAAAGTTTATGGGGTTAAAATTACATTTTTTCAACATGGATCCTCTACTCTTTAGCAACTGCTTACGGTAAGCCTCTCAAGGTGGATAGTCTTACGCTTGCTGTCACTAGACCCTCTGTGGCTTGTGTGTTGGTGGAGGGTGGAGAGAAATATCACTCAACCAGCTCCGGATGAGATATGGATTTAAATTTGGTAGTATTCACAACGGGTATTGACAAAAAGTTGAAATGGAACCACATCCTCCCTATTGCTCTCATTGTAATATGTTTGGACACAGCTCTACTATTTGCTATCGACTGCATTCTCATCTAAAGCCAAATATCACAAAAGAACAATCACATATTATCCCTGTTGAGAAGATGCAACCTGATCCTCTTCCCAACACCGTTGTTCCTGAGGAAGAACAACTTACTACAGCTACAGATCTAGTTGTGCATATACCACCCACTGCTATTGAAGAAGGCTCACTAACACGTCAAGACACACGAAAGTGCTCCTTTGATCCAATAACAGATCAGCCGGTACAACATGTAGTTGCTGCTAATGCTCAACAATCTGCAAAGTTCAACACACATTAGACCAAGATCAGGTGAGCCAATCTTTCTGCAAAGCTCAGCACACATTAGACCAAGATCAGGTGAGCCAATCTTCTGCCATTCTTCCAGGAGGAAGAAGAAGAATGGAGGTCGACTCCAGCTCAGAAACATATTGGGTGATACATTTCTCACCAACTTATTAGCTTGCTCCTTTCCTAGAACCAGAGGAAGAGGCAAATCCAAATTGGGTGCTCTCTAGCCACCAGATACCTTGTATTTCAGCAGTTTTAGGTTTTTTTTTCTTTTTGTCTTTAATGTACTTTTCAGTAATTTCTAGTTTTGGAACTCCTTTTGGTTTTGGTGTTGGCAGGGAGCCATGTTTTGGGCCCTCCAACACATTGTATCAGTATCTTACTTTTTAGTTAATATATTAGCCTTTTGGGCTTTCAAAAAAAAAATAATATATATATATATATATACACACACACACACACACACACATCTTCATATATATATATATCTATTAGAAGTAATTCAACTACTCACCGATGCTATCCTTGTGGGATTTACTCGGGTCTTCACTGTTAAATTTCAATTGGATGGATCCACTGAAATTATAAAGCATGGTTATTTTTTAAAATTTTTTTATTTTTTATTTATTGACTATCATGAAATCTATGCTCTTATGACAATCTTTATCACATTTGGGTCCTTTTAGTATGAGAGAATGCAAATTTGGATGTTAATAATGCATTCTCTTCTAGGAATATTTAATTCTAGGAAAACAAATTTAGTCGACATTGAAACAATTTATTTGTGAACTTGGAAAATTAGCTCAAGCATGGCTCAAAATTCACAAAAGCTGTGAATCAACGGGGGTTCAAAGAGGGTTCATTAAAAGCTGTGAATCAACGGGGGTTCAAAGAGGGTTCATTATCCAGTGGGATTAATGAATTAATTCGTTTAACTACTAGAATAACCATTAAGACTTCGGTGGTACTATATTATGATAAGAAAGCAACTATCAATATAACACCCAATTCGATCTGATTAAAACTTGGGAGTAGTTCAAAATTTTTCATTTATTTGTCTTTTTTTTTTCTTTTTTTTTTTTTTTTAACGTTAATATACCTTAAACAAGATAGATGGAGATCGTGGTCAAAATTCTGCAAGGATATTGATCCATGCAGTTTACTTGCAGAGCATCTTTTCCATGACTGTTAGTCTATAGATGACTTTATTTTAGCGCATATAACAGCAACAATAAATTTACCACACAAAGATAGCCTGCTGATTCTTCGAATATTTTACTACTTTTTCATCTTACGCAGCTCCAATGATTATACAGTTTTTTTGTGGCGCTGAATGGAAAATTCTTTAAGCATCATTCATTCATTTTTATGACTTATGTGCTGTCTTAAAATCCGGAACGGATTGGCCGGTTTAGTTAGTTCTACCGTGAACCCAGCATGCATCCTGTCCAATTAACCTCTAAGCTTGTTTTTGCCATAGAACCGGCGAAAACCTGCTTGAACCGCTTGTTTAATTAATAAAACAGTCCTGCTCGGTTCAAACATAATTTTTTAATCTTCTTTAATTTCCAATCCAATGGTTTAAATTTTTTTAATAAAATTTAAATCTATAAATTATATTATGTTAAACTTATAGTCATAGATTCAAAAGCTTTTAAATCATATTAATATGAGCTTTGTTAAGTTAACCTCTGGCATGTTTATTGTTCGTGTTATCAAGCCCTTTCTTTTCCCATATAGACAGTAGAATGTTAAGTTTCTGTTATGATGTGGGACTAAAGAAACTTTGAATATGTTGGAATTAAGTTGGGCTGTGAAATTATTAAATGGGCTATGGGAAAAAGCATAGTAATAGTATTTTTATTTTTAAACTTTTTTTAATATAAACTTCATATTTTTAGTAATTATTATAAACAATATTTTTATTACAAATTTTATTCGTATTATAAATTATATAACATATCTAATATACTAGGTAAGATACAATTATAGCGACTGTATATTAAATATATTTAAAAACTAAAAAAAAAATTTTATGTAGATAGATAAATTTATATTACAAATTATATTCTTATTTTATATATATATATATATATATTACTGAAATCATTTAAAAAATGGATCAATTTTAGTTTAGTTAAAGTTAATTGTAGTTAGCTTAAAAAATTATTAGTAGGATTTACATACATCACGAAAACAAATAAATTTTGTTTTTACTTGTATAATTCTAATCTATAATTATATAATTTTTAATTTTTAAAATATATTTAATATACATATAATACATATTATTATATCTCTGTGTGTGTGTGTGTGTGTGTGTGTGTGTGTGTGTGTGTGTGTGTGTGTGTGTGTGTGTGTGTGTGTGTGTGTGTGTGTGTGTGTGTGTGTGTGTGTGTGTGTGTGTGTGTGTGTGTGTGTGTGTGTGTGATATAATTTTTAATTTTTAAAATATATTTAATATACATATAATACATATTATTATATCTCTACGAGTTTAATTTTGAGTTTTTAAATTTATAAATATTTATTATAATAATTGTGTATGAGTTTATATATTTTTATTATATACTTATATTATTGCATCATTTAAATCTTATTAAATAAATTAAATATCTGTTACATTCCCTGGTTCAAAATAGGTTCAATCATTTAATCTTATACTACTTTGTCTTCTCGTTCAATGAACATTTCGGTTTTCTCATCCTTGTTTAAGAGTTTACTTGTGTAATTAATTAATGATATTCTTGAAGTAACTTGAAAATCATTTATATTATTCTTTTAATACTTCTCCAAAATGACCTGTGCTTCATGTGATTGAATACGTTTTTCTTTGCACCCAAAATTCAGAGTATGTCTTTGTTACCTTCTCTGCTAAAATGCATTGATCGACTACTGCAATTTGACAGGTGTGTATTCTGCTTTCCACATGTCCAGATATGCATAATATTTTGTGAATTACATCTGCAGCTCTTTGTAGTTCTAGCTTATGATATTTTAATCTTTCTAGCAGCTTCATGCCTAGTTATGATGGAATCCTTGCTATCAACTGCCTCCACACCCTAGTGCGAGTTGCATTGAAGTTGTCAACCACAATTCCTTTTGTGAGTTTTTTTTTTCTTAAATTTGGTATTTTAGGTTTTTTATCTTCAAACTTAAAGCTGCCTTTTCTCCTTCGCATAACATGGCCTCTTTGTTCTGCAGGATCATGTTTGTGAGCTCATAAAACATTTCAAAAATGCAGAGAGATCGTCTTGGAAGATTCGAATCGAAGCAAATAAAGCACTTCTGGACCTCGAATACTACTTTAAAGGTCTTGATGCGGCTCTCTGTTTGTTTACCAAGCTCATGGTGGAAGAAGCTTCTTTACGAGGTTTGAGGAATACCAAATTTGTTTGACTTTATTGTCAATAATCTGATAAGATCCTTCTATAACTTGATACCAAATCTTCTCCAATCACAGGGCAAACAAAGTTGGCCGTCCATTTAGTGCAGCTATGTCAAATAAACTCTGAATCTGAAAATGAAAATGCTGCATCTTGTGCCACTTTAGTTGCTCTTTTACGGATTCTTTCAAGCCGAAAGGCCTTCAATAATGTCTTCCTTCGACACCACTTGTTCTGCATTTTCCAAATTGTTGCTGGGAGGTCTGTTCTTTTTGCATATCTTCTTCAAGTATGTTTTGACTACATTAGAATGACGACATGAAATAAGTTCCCGTTTCTGTTTTCTAGTTTATGTACGAAGGGAATTTGTATTTGAAAAAAAAGTTTCAAACCCTGAGGCCTTCAATGATGTCTTCCTTGGATACCACTTGTTCTGTATTTTCTAAATTGTTGCTGGAAGGGTAAATTCTGTTCTTTCATGCTTGCATATCTTCTTCGACACCACTTGTTCTGCATTTTTCGAATTGTCGCTAGGAGGTTAAGTTCTGTTCTTTCATCCTTGCATATCTTCTTCCAGTATGTTGTGTCTACATTGGGCTGATGACATGAAATAAGTTTGAGTTTCTGATTTCTAGTTATTGAATCGAATGACATCTGTATTTAAAAAAAGTGAAAAGTCTCAAAAACTGAGGCCTTCAATAATGTCTTCCTTGCATATGACTTGTTCTTCATTTTCCAAATTGTTGCTGGGAGGTTAAGTTCTGTTCTTTCATGCTTGCTTATCTTCATCAAGTATGTTGTGACTGCATTAGACTGACAACATGAAATAAGTTTCATTTTCTGTTTTCTAGTTTATGAAACATAGGGTATTTGTATAAAAAACAAAAAGTCTCAAACACTGATTTGAGCTGATTTAACCCATTCTGAAACCATTTGCAAACACTTCATTTAACTAAGCAGATTTTTTTTCTTTTGTTTATAAAATTGATCTACACGTACATGGTTTAAGTTTGTGGCCGAAAACAATTCATTTCAACTTAAACTAGTATGAAACCAGCGACAAATTTCTATATTTATTTATTTTATTTGAAAATCTGCTTGTATGGAGAACTTTTTTTAATGAAAAAAAGAGGGGAATGTCGGCCCGTTTTATCCCTCGGGAAGGGTCGTCGTTTGAGTTTATATATATATATGATTCTAATTATAAGTTTAGAAAATAATATTATGTTAGTTTTAGAAAAGTGTGACCGAACGAACCTCACATATTTGATAGTTTAAGAGGCTGAGCGCGATATCACAAGTAGTACACTACCCCGAAGGATATGCATATAACTTGTTAGTAGGCTTAACCATCTAAACTAAAAGATTTATCACATCTGTTTGGTCTGCGAAACCTTTTTATAAACCGACAAGTTTCCCTATTTAACATGGAAAGTTAAATAGGGTTTATTTTAAACTGAGTTCTTAAGTTCTCTATAAAAACAAACTCTTATAGTTAATTACATCTTAAATGGCCGAAGTCAAATAATCAGAAGTACTAGTTTTCGACTCAATTAAGATCAGGGGTTTTGCCTTCAAGATTGTAAATTTTAGGTTTCCAAGGTTAAATATGAAGAAATCAAATAAGAATGACTCAAGAAAGGAACAATTATTTTCAAGAATCAATGGAGTGAAATGTAAGAAATATCACAGATCCGGGGGGAACCCCAATGACTTCCAACTATCTTGCGATTGGACCTTAACTCTAAAGAGACCTCCTACACCTCGTCGTCGTGGTCTCGATCGTCGCCCTCCGTTCGCTTGCTTCCACGCTCTGCTTCTTGGAAAGACTACTCTAAACTCCCTAAGATATTGATCATAGGCTCAGGGTTGTGGTGTGTATAAATTTACAGTTATTGGGTCAATGACTCGCTATGGGGTACTCTCTAAACCAGGTGTCCTACTAGCCTCTAACCTAAAAATTCCCCTGCAAGCCTGTGGAAGCAACATGAATTATAAAAGGGAACATGCTACGAAACACAGTAAACAGTCATATTGTATATATGAATTATGTGTATATGCAATAAAGTGTGCAGTAACAATAGTAAATGTTGTAAATGTAAAATAAATCTGTATACCTGACGAGTCGACAGCTCTGAAAAGACTCGAGAAAAAGCGGCAGAGGACCCACAATAACTCGAAGAAAACCGTCGAAAACACAAGGAAAATTCAGAGAAAATCATGAGTGCTCTACAAATATTTCGATAAAACCGTAGGAAAACACACAAAAATTTGAAGAAAGAAAGAGTAATCATTCGGGTCGGGCTAGGCTCAGAATTAGGTATTCTCGAGATACTCTGAAGGCAATTATCAGTCACCCGTATGTATAGAACCTGACATTCAACTGAAAATTGTTGTTATATTATACCAACTCAGGAGGGTACTCCTTAGCCTAGTACCGACAATTGACAAGTGGACAATCGAATTATATTATTTAGAATTTATATATTTTGGCATGCAAATATGTTTCATGCATATAAGAAAAAGTAATTTCAATTTCTTTTTTGTGGTCAAAATACTTTTGTAAATAGCGTATATGTTCTTATCGTATCTGCTCTTATTATTTTTTTATAAAAATTTGATTGTCCAAAAGTCAATCGCACTGTCGGGATAGGACCGCCAACAACCTAAGAGGGCAAGGGTGTCCTGTTAGCCTAGTGTCGGTGAATAATATTGTCATCCAGCATTTCACCGGGTCCCTGGATTGGATCCCGATTGCCGTAGGATGGAATATTATTCCACTCTACCAACGAATGTCTTTATCATCAATGTCTAATACCCAAAAAAAATTGTCCAACTTACGACTTTGCTTAATAGTTTAACATATAGTCGCAGCTATACGTGCGCACTTATGTTTCAGATATAAGTGCCTAATACCCAAACCAAGAAGCAAAGAAAATGAACCGAAAAGCAAGAAATGCAAAAGAAGGCTAACTCGCCTCCAAAGTCAATTTAGAAAGAAAGGCCAAAGTGGTAGAAGAGATAACCTAAAACATCCAACCGGTGGGACTCCTTGATTGAGCGATGAGATGGGGCACACTCCCAAGTTCTGACTCCAACACATTTCTAGAAGGCATACCATAGAGGACACCACGCTACCCCCAAGCCTTCCCCAAAAAATGTCAAAAGAAATTCCCCTCTTTTTTTTTTTTTTAAATCAATTCGGCCCCGAGAGTGGAGTCCTGAATTCTCTCTCAACATTTAATAGATTATTCCTCGAAAAGGGACATTCAAATTCTTTCAAGCAACAAAGATTGAAGTATGCAATTCATAAAGTTTAAAACATCTGATTCTATCACAAATTAAAGCTTCCATGCGGTATGAGTCCCACACAACACAAAGAAACCCAAACAGGTGCCCACGACTAGGAACAGGAGGGGGACCAAACAAATCAGCGCCCGGGGAACCAGCTCAACACAAAGAACCTGAAATAGGTGCTCTCGAGTAGGGCTAACAAAAAGGCCACCCAACTGACACAAAAAGGAACCATCTAGATGCTCTCGGGTAGGGGCAGCAAGAAATAAATAACCAAATAAGGTGACCACAGCTAAGCGGCGAAGGAAGCCACCACCAACAAGTTCGCGAGCAAGGGCAACCAGGGAGCAGACCAAACCCAAGCCCACCCCCAACAAGCTCACGGGCAGGGACATCACAAAGGGTCAGCTAAGCCCCAAACAAATACCCAACAAGCTCACAGGTAGGGCTAGCAGAGAGGGCAAACTAGGCACAGGCAGCACACCCAACAGATTCACAGGTAGGGACGACAAACAAAAGGGGAGCCACCAATTAACACACAAGCCAACATCCAACAAACTCATAGGCAAAGACAGCAGGAAAGCTAACGTCCCAAACACTACAATCCATTGGCAAGAACTCGCGGCTAGGAGCAATGAGGGGAAGCCACCAGCCCCAACACAAAGTGGCAAACCACAAGAAGGCGTTCTCAGGTAGGAGCAGCAAAGGGGAGGCCACCAGCCCCAATACAAAGAGAACCACAAACAGGAAGGCTCACGACCAGGAGGAGCAACACAGGGCCCCAAAACAAGGCTTCTAAGAGCTTGATAATCAAACATCACCAACTGCAGGTGTCTCAAACATGGGGGAGCAGCAACGAACAAAGCAAAATCCCCTAAAACAAACCTTTTCAAAAGCTCAAAAAGACAATATTTCATCCAACATATGATTCGAATAGAGGGGAAACAACAGGGAATAAAATCGAGCCCCAAAACAAGCTCTAAAAGCCTCAGAAAAGCAAATGCCAGCTGCACTAGTATTCGAACAGAGAAGGCAGCCATAGGGGGGAAAAATAACCGAGCCTCTGAAACAAAATCCAAAAGCTTTAAAAACCAAGTTTCCACTCAACATATATTTCGAGTAGGGGGGATAACAAGAAACAAAACTAAGCCCCAAATAAAACTTCTGAAGAAAATCTCGGCATTAAATCAGTTCAGCGAGGAGAAACGAAAAAACCGTAGTCCACAAGGACAAAAAAAATAGCCCTCAAACTTCCACATACAGGTATAGATGTGCTAAGAACATGAGGAAGAAGCAGTTAAATCAGATTTAACATAAATGCTAAAATTCTAGTAACTGATAGTAAGCCCAACATGAGATACTAGCTAAGGTAAACAACCTCCTGCATAACATTCTTGGCCAAACAACATGAAGCAGTTAAATCAGATTTAACAGAAATGCTAAAAGGTATAAACATTCGTAGCAGTAAGCAATGACCCCTCTCTTTTTTTTTAAAGAAAATGGCAAGATAATCAGGTGTACGCCAAGGTAAACTCCTCCTCAAGATTCTCCTTTTTTTTCTCTTTTTTTTTTTTTTTTGCTTGAATCAACATATTTCATATGAACAGCACCAAACTAAAAATAGAGCAGAGCTAGATTCGCAGGAAACGAAGGAGAACTTGAGACTTTTAAAAGCAACAAAAGAAAAGCCCATAACCTCCAAACACCAAGCCCCACATGCACCACAAGCACCTAGCCAGGCATAAATTTCAGCAGAACCTCTCCAAGCTCCAAGTTTCGTAACCTCACAATCCTTCCCTGAGAGGGGTCTTTATAGCAGAGGAGGGGAGGAGAGGAAATAACACGGCTTACCAGAGGGTGAATCCAACTCAGGGATCGATCCAACAAAAGAAAACAACCCGCAAGAGTCGCAGGGGTTATCGGGAAGCAGAAGAAATGCTGCATTCGTGACCTAGGTAACAAAGGCA